AATTGGATAAGTTTGGATTTGGGAGGGACCTGGGTAAATGCTGGTTCGGTAACAGGGTTGTTGATTTGATGAACCAATTACCGCGTAATGTGGCGGAGGTGGGGTCCCTCGATTGTTTCAAGCGTGGGTTGGACTCATGTATATGAGTGGGATTGGGTGGTTATAAATGGGAGCTGCCTCGTATGGGCCAATAGGCCTTTTGCAGTTGCCTTTATTCTTATGTTCGTATGTCTCTGCCTAGTCCGGGAATCAAACCCGGGCCACAGGATTATGAATCCCGCGCGCTGTCCACTCAGCTACTAGACCCCGTTCCTGGATTTCTCTCCCCCCCTCACCCCTCCCCTCCTCCCTGTCCTTCCCCATCACACCCTCCCTTAATTTTGCCCTTGACCCTGTTCCCACCCCATCACCCCTCCCCCTCCACTACCCTCTTCTTCCTGATCAGAAAGAAGAGGGGACATATCAACGACATATAAGATAGGAAGGTGATTAAAACAGTACACATAAAAACTTGTTAAATAAAAGTGTATTCCCTTGCCATTGTTTTTAACTCATCTTCGGAAAAGAAAGACACAAGCAGACCCGGAGGTAGGGGACAGTGATGGGAACGAGCCACGAAGGAGTAGGAAACAAACGCACACGCTCACTGAAATGGGCTGAGCTTCTTTCATCTGATGCGTCTGTTCACCTAGCAATAAGTAGGTAGCTGAGTTAATCTAAGAGACAATATTTCCCTCGCCGCTAACTTGTTTGTCTCTCTTGTCCTATCCCCCTTCTCTTCTCTCCTTTTCCCGTTTCTTCTGTCGTTCCCTTTTTTCTCTCTTCTCCTTTCCTCTTCTCTTCTCTCCGATCCACTCCTCTCTCATCCTTTCCCATTCTTTCCTGTCCTTCCCTTGTTCTGTCCTATACTTCCTCTTTATCCTCTGTCCTTTCTCCCGTGCCCTTTTCCAACCCTTTCTAGTCTTTTCCTTTTCTTTCACGTCTCCTCACACCGTCTTCCGTCAGTTTCTTCCCATTCATCACAGCTCCTCTATTTCCTCCCTTACCTTCCCTCACACACCCCTCTCTATCTCCCCCCCACTAGTCGCTCTTCCTCCCCATTTCCCCTCATCGACCCCCTCCTCCCTCACCCCTCCCTCCCCCCTCTCCTCTTCCATCTCCACCACACAATCAGTGAGACAGACACCTGAATGGCCTGGAGCATGCTGGAAGTTAATCAGAGTTACACGTGCCCCATCAGGTGACTCTAAGGGGGGGGAGGGGTGGTGATGAAGATAGGGATGAGGGAAGGAACGAGGGGAAAGGGTTAAGGGTATGGGGGAAGGGGGTGATGGGTAGGGACAGGGAGGAGGGGAAGTGTTAGGGGGAGTGATAAATTACCTTACGCAAATTAAGCCTTAGGTAAGACCACAATACAGCAATATGTAATTAAATATGGCGTCTGGGGAGGGACGATCGTCAATGCCTGAACAAATCCATAAGGGCCGTGACGAGGGTTCGAATCTACGTCCGAGAGGATCCCAGACTGTTGTTGTTGTTTAAGATTCGCTATCTGGAACAAAAAGTTTCAAGTAGCACGGGCTATGGTGAGCCCGTAGTAGACTTATTGGATCCCTGGCGCTGCCTTGAGACCCTGGTTTGTCTCGGAGAGACTGCAGGAACCGTTGGTAAATCAGGATGATTTCCCGGTTGCAATTTTCGTAGCTCAGTCCATTAAGGCAGCGTCTGGGTTCCTTTCAAACGTACGTTCGAGCCCTCGTCACAGCCCTTGTGGATTTGTTCATTTGATGCATCACGCTATTGTGATTTCTGTGTGTAATCATCAATGCATTTTTTCATATTTTTTTTTTTCGTTTCTGTACTTCAAAAGTACATCCATATTTGTATGTTTATATTTCTTGGTTTGTTTTATTTGCATTTGTGGAGGTCGGGCTGTTAGAGATGGACACTTGTTGTGAAATACAGCTTAACAAGGTCATTCCTCCGGTGCTTGAATTAATCCCATTTCAGGTCGTTGTGGTTGAAGAGGAGTCGTCTTGGTCGTTCACAGTACTTGGTCATCCACAGTACTTGGTCGTCCACAGTACTTGGTCGTTCACAGTACTTGGTCGTCCACAGTACTTGGTCGCCCACAGTACTTGGTCGCCCACAGTACTTGGTCGTCCACAGTACTTGGTCGCCCACAGTACTTGGTCGTCCACAGTACTTGGTCGTCCACAGTACTTGGTCGTTCACAGTACTTGGTCGTCCACAGTATTTGGTCGTTCACAGTACTTGGTCGTTCACAGTACTTGGTCGTTCACAGTACTTGGTCGTCCACAGTACTTGGTCGTCCACAGTACTTGGTCGTCCACAGTACTTGGTCGTTTCAGGGTTAATGTGGTGTGGTGTTGGTCCCATGTGTCAGCCTGGCTGTGGTGGTGGTGTGGGCGGCAGCGTGGGCGGCAGCGTGGGCGGCAGCGTGGGCGGCAGCGTGGGCATGGGGGGGGGGGGAACTTACCGTCTTGTCGCCCAGTCTGAGGACATGGCAGGCGAGGGCGGCGGTGTCTCCAGCGTGGACTGTGACGGTGGCGTTGTGACGCCCCAGGAAGGTGGGCAGGAGAGCTGGGGCGTCACTGGTGACGGCCGGAGCGTCAGAGGTGACGGGGGGAGCCTCGATGCTGGGGGCGAACCCCCCCGCTCCCAACACTGTGGGAGGAGAAGGAGGTGGACAGTTAACTGGTGAAAGCTATTAAAATAATACTATTAGTAATATCTTTATAAACGATAATAATAATAATAATAATAATAATAATAATAATAATAATAATAATAATAATAATAATAATAACACAGAGAAATCCCACTAGCGTGATATATATCAATTAGAAAATCAACTGGAGCGCTGAGGTGAGTCGAACCCGCGACCGACAAAATCCCTGTCTCTGACGCTAACCACTGCACCACCACCACTTGCAAAAAAGTCAAACAACTGAATTCCTACTGAGATCACAGGAAGTCTAGAGGTCCCTCCTGAAGACAGTCCAAGTTTTACATATGCCCCCCCAAGATGTCCCAACAAAACATGACATACCAGAGCCAATTTCTATCTGTTCCTAAACCCTATAATGCGTATAGTCAGAGAACTGGCTTACGTATAAATTAAACTTATAAATCTAGACTCAATTTATCTTATAAAGAATGATAGAATTAATATCCACTTCTTCCTGGAAGTGATTAAATTATCAAGCGTATAGAAAACGCGTCGCCGGGGACGGAGGGGAGACCATCTTGGACGAGTCAAGTGGCGGCTGTCAGCCACATCTTTGTTTATTACAAGTTATTCTCGTGACGTTGTGGAGCTCGGATCAACACCTTCCGTTCCTGGGACGTCAATACTATCCGCTTCAGTAATTTTAGTGGTACATTTCTTCCGTATATATGTTTACTCTGTCATGACGCAGGAATATTACAAACTAAAGGGTGATGAGCGTCTCTCAAAATAATATTGAATTAAATACTAGTTATACAAATCATTTATATGATTTAAACTAACATTATTTAGTTGATTCTACAGTGTAATTTGTTGACAGGTAAACTGAGCCGTGGCGGACAGGTTCACAGCTTGATGGCCCGTCAGAGACACGCCATAATCACGTGACTGTTACGTCCCTGTCAACCTGGGGCCCGATTCACGAAGCAGTTACGCAAGTACTTACGAACGTGTACATCTTTCCTCAATCTTTGACGGCTTTGGTTACATTTATTAAACAGTTTTAAAGCATGAAAACTTCCCAATCAACTGTTGTTATTGTTATAAACAGCCGCCTGGTGTTTCGGAGCTCATTAACTGTTTTAAAGTTGTAAACAAAGCCACCAAAGATTGAGAAAAGATGTTTAGATTCGTAAGTGCTTGCGTAACAGCTTCGTGAATCTGGCCCCTGAACCTTATATTTCCTGAACCTTATACTTTTTAGTATTAATTAAGAAGAGAGCAAATTAAATTTACTCAGTCAGAATTAAATAACATAATTATATAAACCAATCAATTAATTAATTTGCTCTAGCCTTAAAATTTTAATTTATAACTCCCAAGTTGTGAGGGTTGTAGTTGTGTGGACTTTTAGGTCACACTCCACTGCTTTAAAAGGAAATAATAAAGTTGTTATTACTTTTATTTGTATTACTTATTTTGCATTATTTTTAAGCTAATGTTTAAGATGTTATCCCTGGAAACACAAACCGTAACTGTCTCTATTTTCCGCTTGTTACAACTTGTAATAAAGTTGTTAAATCTTGGCTTAACGTGTTTATGACGTATTAGAACATTGTTACAACTTGTTGACCAGACCACACACTAGAAGTTGAAGGGACGACGACGTTTCGGTCCGTCCTGGACCATTCTCAAGTCGATTGTGTTACAACTTGCTATATTGGTTGTTATAACTGGTTAAGAAGTGTTAAAAACTTGTTCGAACGTTGTACCAACGTCGTAGTTTCGGTGTGTGTGTGTTTGGTGGGATCAACACCACGAAAATAGTTCTTGCGTTTATAATACAAATAATGTTCAAGCGTCTGATTTATGGTAATATTATAATAAAGTAAACTTCTCTCCATGTTAAATAGAAGGTCTGATCGTGATGGGTTGTGGCGGTGAAGCTCCGGGGAGGATATATGGTGTGCTCACAGCTGGCATATATCCATAGAGAAGGGATGTACACCCCTGTGTCACATATATTCTCGTCTATGTACGAGGCATGTGGAGGGCATTTACCTCTCTGGTAACGATGTCTTTCTCTTTGTTAGACTGAGGGTGGTGATGGTGGTGGTTGGGGTGGTGGTGGTGGTGGTAGTGGTGGTGGTTGCAGGGGGTGGGGTGGTCTTGGCAGTGGTTGTGGTGGTGGTAGGGGTGGTGGTGGTTGCAGGGGTGGGGTGGTCTAATTGGTAGTGGCTGTGGTGGTGGTAGGGGTGGTGGTGGTGGTGGTTGCAGGGGGTGGGGTGGTCTTGGTAGTGGCTGTGGTGGTGGTAGTAGTGGTGGTGGTGGTGGTGGTGGTGGTTGCAGGGGGGTGGGGTGGTCTTTGCAGAGACTGTGGTGGTGGTAGTAGTGGTGGTGGTGGTGGTGGTGGTTGCAGGGGGTGGGGTGGTCTTCGCAGTGGCTGTGGTGGTGGTAGTAGTGGTGGTGGTGGTGGTGGTGGTGGTGGCTGTCGAAGTAGTGGTGATAATGGTAGTGATGGTGGTTGTGCTTACCTACATATACTTCCCTATCAGTGTCTATGGAATAGGCACAACAAGGGCCTCCTGCTTGCTTTGTTGTGCGTGTTCCATCATTATTATTAAACTGTTCCGACGGTCGAGCTCTCTGTCGAGTCCGGCCAAAAAAGTTATGGATGGAGGTGACTTCCGGAGCTTCGCCTTACAGTGTATTCGACCATTGATCACCGGTACAGTACTTCCTTACATCTCCTCGACTCATATACGTTTAGGGATTCCACCGATGTCCTTTCATACCACTTTCTCACTATTTTAAAGAGTCTGTCCGTGCCCACCGTGTCTATTCTTCTTCAGTATCTTGTATGTTGTGATCATATTCCCTCTGTTTCTTCTTATGAATGAAGAAGATAGAATGAAGAAAAGTACAGTTCTTACGTATGGGCCAATAGGCCTTCTGCAGTTTCATTGATTCTTATGTTCTTAATTATGTTCTCTGTTCTAGAGTCGTGATATATTGTTCTCTTAAATCTTCGCTGCTTAACTCTCATAGTCTGGCAGTAATCCGGTTAGAAACCTCTGTATTTTTTACATTTTGGCTCTCTACTTTACAAAATGTGGACTCCAGGTCGGTGCTGCATATTTCAGCAATGGTCTAATATAGGTTGTGTCGAGGGCTTTGAAATAATTCTTATTTAAGTGTAAATTACGTTACAATATTTATCAGTTTCCTAAATGATGCCGATGTTATCCTGTTGATGTCTCTCTGATCTCTTCTATATCCTGAAGACCTCCACCTCACTCGGCGTGCTGGGGTGAGAGTGCTGTAGGGAGACTGTAGTTCACCCGAGAGACCAGGCAACGAGGGGGAACGCTGGTAAAGGAAGTAGCTAAACGAATTTTGGTTGTTGGTGATTCCCAAGTGAGGTGTTTGGATAAGGCTTTTTGTGCCAGAGAAAGAGGAAGGGAACAGGTTATGGGTTTGCTATCCGGGAGCAGGAATTGAGGATATTGTAAACAATATGAATGATATTATGGCTGGAAATGGGAACAAATCCATTATTTGTAGTCTCAAAGAGGGAATCAAAACTGAGCCACACACAGAAACTATTTGATTAGAATTAAACGAAAAAACTAAAGTTCTTATAATAGGAGTTATATACAGGCCACAAAACCTAGACAGAAAGGCAGCTAAGGAAGAGCTATCTAGAGCATCTAGGTCAATCTATTTGTGTCATGGGTGACTTTAATTTTAGTGGAATGAACTGGCTTAACAGAACTGATAATGATGAAACAGAAGATTTTCTAGAATTGACAATTACTTCCTAAAGCAACACATTAAGGAACCAACGCAGGAAAATAATATTTTAGACTTAGTGAACAAATGTGAACTTAGTGTAGTGTAGTGTATTATAATGTTAGACTTAGTGTTAACTAACAGGGAGACACAAATTAATGACATCGAAATAGGGAGTGAGCTAGGAAACAGTGATCACAAAGAAATCAGATTTAGCATAGAATGGAATAGATTTGTAAGAGAAAATTCTGTTAAAGTGCCAGATTTCCGAAAAGCTAATTTTAATAGCCTAAGAAATTTGTTGGGTCAAATAGATTGGAAAGTCCTATTCATAGGGGTGTGGGCCGGTCTTGGAACGAGACGTGAACCCAGCGATGGGTGATGTATAAAGGGATTTCGAAGCGGATTCAAAATATAACTTATTTAAAAAAAAAATTATAAGCAAAGCACAGGACCGTAGTATACCATACAACGTGAATAGATCGACTAATAATGACCCCGAAATAGATAACAAAGGATCTGAAGCACCGTATTGGCAGAAAGAGAGCTTGATACAAAAGGATTACGAATAGGGAAGTCAGTTTAGAACAAGAATCCTCCAACTGGTTAGAAATGTTAAAAAAGAGATAAGGAGGGCAAAAAGAAACTACGAAGTTCATGTAACAGAGCAAGCAAAGTGAAATCCTAAAGTTTTTTTCAGTTTTATCGAACAAAGATTAGGGAAAGGTTAGGTCCATTAAAAGCTGAGACAGGTCAGATAATAGATAATAATGATGTCATCTTCCTCACCCATTGTCAGATAGACAGTGGGTGGGGAAGATGTCAGGTTGACTAGTTATAAAACAAATAGTGAAACTCAAGCCAAACAAATCCCCAGGGCCAGACGAAGTGTTTGCCAGGGTGCTTGAGGAATGCAAAGAGGAGCTTTGCGAGCCGTTGTCTACTATATTATATAAATCATTAGAGTCAGGCAGGGTGCCAGAGTCGTGGAAGGTTGCTAATGTGGTACCAATTTTCAAGAAAGGAGATAAATCACTTGCGTCAAACTATCAGCCAATTAGCCTAACGTCTATTGTGGGAAAGTTGTTTGAATCGATAATTGCAAATACCATTCGTCTTCATCTTGAAAAACATGGATTAATAAATGATTCACAGCATGGTTTTACTAATGGCCGTTCATGTTTAACAATTTTACCATCATTTTATTTCAGCATAGTTAAGGCAGTTGATAGTAGTAAGTTTTG